AGGGGGTTGGACTGGATGGCCCTTGTGGTCTCTTTCAACTTTATGATTTTATGATTCTATGAACACTGGGTACCTTGGGGTCTTGTCAAGCATAGTAGAGGAATATATTTTCTAGTTTCAGCACAAAATTCCTTGATGTCATGAACAAGTTTTTGAGTTCTCCAAAACTCTGCTTCTGAATATATATATATATATTTTAAAAATGGGGGAAAAGATGACAAGATGAAAGTAGAATATAATGTAATTTTGCAGTTTCTGCAACAACTTTCCCCAAACTGGTACCTGACAGATGAACTGAGCTACAACTTCAACCACTCCAAAGAATATGCAGAAATGACTTGAAGACACATAACAACAACAGATCTATTATTTGTTGGGCACCAAATACTGTTTCCTGTGCAAAAAACCTCCCATGTGCATATTTTGCACAGATTAAGTCCTGAACTGCAAATAGTCTTTGAAAACTGTACTGCCTTCAAAGACTGGCTCACAACAGGGCCAAAACTGCAAAAATTCTTTTTTCATTGCTTTCTTCAGAAGTGAAGTTAGCAAAGAATTTAACCCTTACCCAAAGCCTCTAAGGCAATCATTAGCAAGCAAACCAATTTTTTTCTCCATCATATAGGTTGCACTGTTGCATGGCCCATGGAGAGAACAAGTCCCCATAATAAGAACCCAGATGAAAGAGCCATTCCTCCATTAGAAGGACTTTTTAAAACTTACCATGAAGGATGAGGTGAGGCAAGTTTCATCCAATTGCAGCGATTCATTTGAAGTGTCCAGTTTAAATGAGTCATTTACATTTTTAGGATGTCAGACGAAAGCCGATTTCCTACAGAAATCAAATCCCACGTCCACCAGGGTTTTAACAAGATGCCTCTGGCTATCACATGAATAAAGGATTTCTTTCCATTCCCTAGTCTTGGGGATAGCTAATTAAGGAAACGGGCTCTTACAGCTAGGCACTGCTATCAAGGAATCTCTTTGAAGGAGATTGCACAGCCATTAATTAAGATAGGAGCTTGGGGGTGTGTGTGTTAGATCCAAGGTATAGGCATTTGCACTTAGCAGAGATAAACCTCAAATGATTCATGTAGGAAATAGAAAGGATCAGGTTCCATGGTTTCTATTCAAGCTCACTGTGGCCAACACTCAAATGAATACATTAGAAACTGGCTATTTCTGGCTCTGGGCAGGTAGGATGAATCTTAGTATTTTTTGTTTTTCAGCTGCTGCATATCAGATTCTCTCATATGCACCAGGAAACTAGAAACTCTTAAATTGCCATACATACTATGGCAGTCTTCTTGACTAGTCGTGCTAAATATATATTGGGTGTTTTTTTTCTCCATAGGATTAAAATAAATTTAAATATTTGGAGGCTAGAATTGGAGCAATGTAAAGTGTTAGCTAGTGAGCCAGCGTGGTGGAAAGGTTTGAGCACTGGACTATGATTCTAGAGACCAGGGTTCAAATCCCAGCTTAGTCATGGAAACCTACTGGTTGACCTTGGGCAAGTCACACTCTCTCAGACTTAGAGGATGGCAATAGCAAACCCCCTCTGAAGAAATTTTGCCAAGTAAATCCTATGATAGGTTTGCCTTAGGGTCGCCATAAGTTGGAAATGACTTGA